AAAATGTGTATGTATTTTTAAAGAATTGGCAGTGCAACATGTCTGTCTCCGTGTCAGGACGTGGTGCTGATTCACTAGTGAGGTTAGTGTGCCACACCATGAAGAGAGGAGGACAGGCTAAGTGAGCACAGAAACAGGGCTGATGTGTTGGGAGCCAAATCCTGCTCTGTCTTCCTGGGGGAGTTGAGTGACATTGCACTGGGTGCATGGCTGGCCCCAAAGAAGGGGAATTTGTAAGAAACGGGACCAAAACTTGAACATGGCTGCTGATGAACATAAGCGCAATCGTGCCTGCTCAAGAGTCTGCCACAGGCCCTGGCATGCTGCCCCGGCTGAGGCCCTCTGTGCTGTGGGGCAGGCAGTCCAGCAGGAGAAGCAACGTTGTTTTTCGAAGCGTGGATGTCTAGAAAAAGCTGTGAAGTCATTATTGCATGGAGGGAAATGACCAAAAAATGTAATGGCCACATTAAATAAATAAAGGGTAAAACCAGGCTGCCAAGAGCCAGTGGTAGCTCAAATCCAGCTCACTTTCCAGGTGCTGGGCCTTCAGCTGCCCCACCAGCACCTTCCCCTGGGAGGAGGGAATGCTCCCCCCCCTCTTCCGATGCCACTGTGGCCTGCGCCTCCTGCTCTGCTTTGCTGGGCAGAGCTGCTGGGGGCTTAAAGTGCTACAGCACTGAGCAAGAGCGCAGACGACCTCTGGGCAAGAGTATGTTTTGAATGTAAATGCTGATGCATGGTTTGTGTGCTCATGCATGCAGAGCAAGGCTCTTGCCCAAGAACCATGATGAAAACTGTGTGTCATCAGACACGACCCCCGCCCTGCGCAGGTAGGCTGTGGGGGGGTGCTGACACAAGCTGCCCTCAGCTCCTGGAAAAGCTTCCAGCCCTGCCCTGGCAAGGGGGACAGCTTTTGTGGGCGCCCCGCGCGAGAGCAAGGACTGTTCTTCTTAAAGCTTGGCTGCTCTCCCAAGACCATCCTGATGAAGTTGGACAGGGAGCCACCACGGTGCTGCCGGGCCTCAGCTGCCCTCCTCCTCTCCTGCAGGTGTCCATGAGGAGGACCTCCAGCAGGTCACAGGGACGCTCATTACAGGACAAATGCTCCGATTGCAGAGTAACCCGGGAGGCATTTCCCAACTACTGTGAAAGGGCAGGCATGAGAAGAGGGCAAAGCTGCCCAGCGGGTTTCCCAACACACTACCCCAGCTCTTAAAATTCACCTACCTGAGCAGTGATTACTGTATGCTTACCACCATGGGATATATGCATGTATCGAAGAGCTGATCAGCTCCAAACTGAACCGAGCAGTGGATTGGCAACAAAGGATGACAAAAACAGACTCGCTTTAGTCCTAAAAGGAAGAGCTGGGGCTCAGCTGTAGGAAACTGCTAGGACTTCATTGACATCAAGTCTGCTCCTTTCAAGGGAGAAAGAGTAAAAGTAGGCTTGAGTTCAGCTATAAAAGCCGTAGTAATTCGAAATAATAGTGATCTCAGTGTTACTTCCATAGATGAGTTAAAACCCTAAGCTGTTATCTTAAAAGAAATGATAAGGAGAAAAATACCTGAAAAGTTTTGAATCCATGCAGAAGCCAAAATATATTTTTTTATTGAGGAGGCCCAATTTGTTTCTTTCCACTCTGTCACAGGATGACAGCTACCTAGGGTGCTTCCCTGCTTCACAAAATTATTTTTTTAAGACAGACTTGTTTTAGAGAGAGGACTTTCCAGTTTCTTGGTATTGTAATATTTCAAAACATAAAAGACAAAAATAGCAAGTTAGAACATGTTGCTGTGATGCTGAATGCTGATGGAGCACAGAGATAGAAGGTACTTTGCACTGGTTGTCACTGGGTGAATGTGTTTGTAGGCAAAGCCTTGGTTATCAGAAGCTTTTTATGGCAGGGGCTGAGGCCTGGAGCTAACACGACAGTCATGACACAGCTTGAGAAGCAGAAACTTTTCTGGTAGTTTGCAGTGTGGTGGAAGAAGCAAAATCCATTTGTAATAACACAACTCTAGAAGCCAATTCTTTATTAAAAGATCTTTTAAGCATTCCAGTACAAACTTATCTGCTCCACTGTAGCTTTGAGTTGATGAAGATGAACAAACATTTAAAAAAAAAAAGGCAAAATGGACACCACTATAAAATTAGGAAGTAGATGAATTATGGACACCGATTACACCAAACATAAACATCAAACTGCAGGAATTATACACAGTCCTAAGGCAAACTATGTAACGAAAGTATGCAATTGCACTGAAGTCTGTAGTAGGTTATGACACGCACCGCTGCCCAATCACTCGATATCCTGGGTCAAAAGGACACCCCACTGGGTATCTCTGCATTGAGAACAGCAGCTTCGGAACCAAGGAGTACCCAGAGTGTTGCTATACCATACATTCAGTTTGTTGGGTGAGTGACCAATGGACCCAGCAGTGCCCAAATTAATTTATTTAAGAAAAAATTAATATTAAACCAGTTTCACTGGAATCTGTTGTTTTGTGCTTCTCCCTTAGCTAGAAATCCCAATGCCTTTGATCACAGTACATCCACCTGCTGAGACAAGAAAAGGTGATCTGATACCCTGATCCTGTGGAAGTCAGCAGAAATCCTCCAGTGACTCTAAGCTCATCACAATTTTCATTTCCCCAAGTATGTAAAAAGAAGTAATATTGCTGATTTCTCTCTGCACCCCCCTTCTCAACCACAAAGTGTGCTCCCTGATTATTCTCCAGGAAAAGGGACTGATTGTATCGAGGACCCTGTATTAAACAAACTATTAGATCTCATCCCCATTTCAATCCCTTGCACTATGTTCACCTTCCAGAGATACCAGCTCTCCTAAATCAAGGCTGCAAATGACATTTTAGCGAGTTCCCTCTGCAAGGCATGAAACCGCCCTTTCCAGGTGGTGGAGAGACCGAGCTGGAACTCCAGTTGCAGGCTCAACACCTCTCCTAGTAAATCTTCCAGCAACACCAGGCCCCCCAGTGCCTTTCATATCCTCACAGTAAAAATTAGTATCTAGCTGGACGGCATTTTTGCCTTTCTGCACCTATAGCCCACCCTCCTGCAGTGCCTGTACAGTGAGAGAGATCACTGCTCCAGGGGCAGTCTTCAGGCAAGAAAATACTCTTACCAGATCCAATGGAGTTCACAATCCATCCCTAAAAGGCAGGAAAAAAGCAAACCCTTGTTACACTTTGGTCAGTAGGTCACCCTTAATGTTCAGTTCAGTCTGTAATAAACAAAAATACCATTCTTTCCATTGAAACAACAGGTGCCCAGGAAAAGACAAGGAGGTAGAGAGCAAACGGAGATTCTGTTTCATTTTATTCAAAGTGTAAGATACCTCTAGTGATCCTTCAATAATAAACCTCTCTGATAAGCAACTGCTGTCGTTAGGACAATTTGTTCTTTGTCCTCAAGTTGAAAGGAGCTCTCTGCTAGGCAAGAGAATTTTGCTGGTCCCTGGGGTGTAAAGCTGGTTGCTTGCAGAGCTACTATAGGCAGCAGGAGGCTTATTGCCTAGATGACAGGAAAAAAACCCTAGAAGTATGTATTGGCTCTGGCTGAGGTGGAGTTAATTTTCCCCATAGCAGCATGTTGTGGTTTAAGCCCAAGAGAGCACCACGAAGCCGCTCACTCACTCCTCCCTGCCCCAGGCCCCAGTGGGATGAGGAGAAAATACGAAGGCAGGCTCGTGGGTCGAGATAAGGACTGGGAGGGATCACTCACCACTTATGGTCATGGGTAAGAGACAGGCTCAACTTGGGGAAGAAACAAGATCAATTTAATTTACTACAAATCAAAACAAAACAAGGATATTAGGAAGTAAAAACCAAACCTTAGAACACCTTCCCCCACCCCTCCCTCCTTCCCAGCTCAACTCCACTCCTGGTTCTCTCCACCTCTTCCCCCCCCAGCAGCACAGGGCAACAGGGGACAGGGGTTGGGTTCAGCTCCTCACACTTTGTCTCTGCTGCTCCTTCCTCCTCAGGGGGAGGACTCCTCACTCCTCCCCTGCTCCACCGTGGGGTCCCTCCCACAGCAGACAGTCCTTCACAAACTTCTCCAGCATGGGTCCTTCCCACGGGCTGCAGTCCTTCAGGAACACACTGCTCCAGCACGGGCTTTCCCATGGAGGCACGGCCATCTTTGGGGTTATCCACCTGCTCTGGCATGGGGTCCTCCACAGGCTGCAGGTGGGCATCTGTTCCCCCACTCCCCTCCATGGGCTGGGGGGGGACAGCCTGCCGTCTCACCATGGGCTGCAGGGGCATCCCCTCCTCTGGCACACCTCCTCCCCTCCTTCTTCACCGACCTCGGTATCTGCAGAGGTGTTCCTCTCACATTCCAATCCCACTACTCACTGCAGGTTCCCCTTCTTAAATGTTTGTTATCCCAGAGGCACTACCACCATCGCTGATGGGCTCGACCTTGGCCAGAGGTCCAACTTGGAGCCGGGGAAGCTTCTAGCAGCTTCTTACAGGAGCCACCCCTGCAGCCCCTCCCCTGCTACCAAAACCCCACCACACAGCCCTCACAGTATTGGTAGCTAGAAAGGTGCTGATAACACACCAGTGTTTTGGCTACTGCTGAGCAGTGCTCCTACAGCATCAAGGCTGTCTCTCCGACATTCCCCCCTCACCAGTAGGCTGGGGGGTGGGCAAGATCTTGGGAGGGGACACAGCCAGGACAGCTGACCCAAAATGACCAAAGGGATATTCCATACCATATGATGCCTGCTCAGCAATAAAAGCTAGGAGAAAGGTGAGGGGGGCATTCGTTATTATGAGATTTGTCTTCTGGAGCAACCGCTATGCATGCTGAAGCCCTGCTTCCCAGGAAGTGGCTGGACATTGCTTGCTGATGGGAAATAGAGAATACATCTTTTGTTTTCCCTTGCTTCTGCTTTATTAAAGTGTCTTTATCTTGACCCATGAGGGTTTTTTCTCCATCTTATTTTCTCCCCTGCCATCCTGCTGAGGAGGGAATTGATAGAGCAGCTTGGTGTGGGCACCTGGCAGCCAGCCAAGGTCAACCCACCACAAAGTACAGCTTCATCACAGCAGAGCAGTACCTAGCTCTGGTGGTACTATGCCCCTATGCCAAGAGGTTTGCTGGCCAGATGTTACCACAGCACTGCTAATTTGATCCCTTGTTACCGCTACGACAAACCATTTCCATTTTCCCCAACATGGCTTTACTCCACTGACTTCATAGTCCATACACTCCAAATTCAGTGCCATACACCTCTGTCTCAACACATGAATGCGTGGGCAAAGCTCACTGTGCCAACACAGTATGTGTCAAAACAGCCCCAAAACTGATGCAAGGGCAGGGACTTATTCTGACTCTTCAGTGAGAAGTGTCAAATCATGAAAAATCCATCACCCAAGAAATGGCAGGGTTTTCCCAATTTCTTGGAGAAAAACAAGGTTTGGTGCAGCTGCCACTAAATCTTAGGGCAGTTCACTGTCATCTTGGTAGGAAAAAGCAGCATTGTGGTTCAGGAGGCAGAAACCAACAATGCTGGTAATGGCATTTCTACAAAACACTATGCTTTTCAAGCTGGCACTCAGAGTCTTGTCATGTGCAGCAGGAAATAGGGAATCCACACAAATTAGTGTAAAGGTACCTCTGTACTTAATGGAAGAAGGAACAGGCAGACTATTGGGCCACTTGGCAAAGCATTTCCTCTTCATTAGTAGCTCATTTACTTCAGAATGAGATGCAGAAAACTAGAGTGGACAGGCAGGGAATAACTTGTACGTAAGAAATGTACCTCTGTAATTTCCTGTCAGTTACTGATTCGTTTTTGCTTAGAGCAAAATGGCTCATATATTAGTTTTATGTACATGCTAATTTATTTGTGAAGTTTATTGGTAGCTATACAAAGTGCCTGTGAAATACTGGTAAGTTTTCAACTTCAATATAATTAAGTGGTTCCACAGGTAAACCACACTGCATGCTAAATTCTTTCTCCCATCCACTTTCAGGCACTGCATTTCCATGTCAGGAGACATCCCTTCACTGCAGTATGCAATTCTGAAGTTAGCCCTGCTTTGAGCAGGAGGCTAGGCTAGATGACACCCAGAAGTCCTTTCCAATCTAAGTTTTTATGTGATTGTATAAAGGCAGCAATAGCAACTGCCAATACGTTTCTCTAATCATCTCCTATTTTGCAAAGCTTTGTCTTATCCCTTCCTTTATAAAACTTAAAAGAAGTTATGGATGGATCTTTCCTCTGAGAGGCTAACCACTCCATTAGAAGAAATAAAAGCACCCAACCACTTTTGTTCTCTGTCAGGCAACAAGATAGGGATAAAACAAAAATATGCCCCAAAACCTCCAATGAGGAGAAAAACTGTCATTTCATGTTACATCTGGGTCAATGATTAGAAGCTACTCTAACCACCAGGTCATTCCTCTGAGCACCTGCTTTTCATTTGCAATGTTTTTCATTAGCAGCCTGCATTTAATACCATGTCTTCAGCTTGGCAAGTATCCAGCACTGCTCAAAAAAATCAATGTGTACGTGTCACAAACACCCCCAGCGCCCTTAATATCTTCTGTCTGGATAGAAGGCTAGCCAGCCGATCAGAAGTGAGCAGCATTTGGAACAGGACAGCATCGATGGAGCTTGTCCAAATCCCGGCAGCACCAGCACCAGATCAAGCCTGTCTTGACACTTGATACCAAAGCCACCCCACAGCAACTCCCTCTCCAGAGCTCGACTCTTAACCCTTCGCTGTGCCCGGAGTAAGGAGTAAGACTCCTGTGTGCTGTGGTTAACCCTTTGCTAGGAACTATCAGACTTGCCGTTTTAGCAGGTCACTTCTTTGGCAGGAGAAAGGCTGTCAGCTGTTCATGCTGCAGTGCAAACTGGTCATAACCGTGTTCCCCAAGCAGCTCTCTGAACCTCTGTCAGGTGCAACCTCTCCTCAAGTGCTTGAGAGAGGCTACGTTATGCCATTTTTGCCACAAATGGGTTGTGGGACTCTTCAAACTTGCCGCAGACTGAGAACCTGCTCTCGCTGGTAACAACTAAAAGTGCCCCTCTGCCTCAGGTAAGCAAGGCTGAGCCCAGGACCACGACCAGCAAACATTCTGACCCCAGGTGAACACTGAACCCCACCCCCGGGGAAAATCTGGGGAGAGAGAAGGGATTATCATTGTAAATGAGTGATGTGCTCCTTACGGAGGCCTGGGCAACAGCATCCAATACAACAGAGATTTACATATACCGACTCACAGGCTCTTTGTACTTATAAACCAAATATACACATTATATACACCACGTAATACACCTGGTGATGGGACAAAACCAGCGTACTCTCTAAATACCTAGTACTTAATGTTGTCAGTACAACACTGTGCTTTGCCGGGTGCTGCTAGGCCTTCAACCAGAGGCAAGGAAAAACATACGGAATGACTGCCTAAGGTGTAACCCTGGGCTAAAAGGAAAGGGCTAAAAGTAATGAAGATGCATACTTCACACTGGAAAATGAGAATCAGGCCAGACATCTCAGAAGTATTTTTCCTTATTGCAAGGTGATTTAGTATCAGGCAACTCCTCTTTCACTGTTTTGTTTTGTTTTTATAATTGTGCTGTTGGAAACATCCATGTAACAAAAAATATTGTGGCAAGCCTGAGAAGAGCCCAATTCTTCTCTGCCTGTATTTCATTGCAACAGGGTGACTTGGGGGCCACAGGAGCTGCATACCTGATGTGGAGCAGAGGAAGAAGGAGGTCTGAACGAGGCATGCTGGGACAGATCTTCACCTGCTGCCAACATGTCACCTGTAGACCATGTCACAGCAATGATAAGAGCTGGCTCAGAGCTCTGGCGCCCCATGCCTCACTGGATCCAGACTCCCTCTGGAAAGGGAACTGGAAACACTTCCTTTAAGTATAAAACTACCTTCTGGTGTCTGAACATCTGACACCTATGAGAAACAATACCCAAAACTTATAAAAATTACCTTACGTTATTATAATGCTCTCTCCTTTCTCTAGCTTGCTTGCTTTGGGCATTTTACAGCTCCCTGTATACCATGAAGAGACACAGGAGATCATGACTAACTGAAAGAAACCTTCAGCAGAGGGCAGGAAAATCCTCATATATTCATGAAGAAATAAACTCTCCTGTCGTACACATCCAAAGAATCTTGATTAGTAAACTCTTTGAAATTAGCTGGTTTTCTTTAAAAAAAAGGAAAAAAAAAGAAATTCAAGTTGATGAAAGTCTCTGGATATCAAAAATGTGCAGCTTTTTCCCTCCTCTGTGCTCCTGTCAAGCACTGGCACACCAAAGAGAAGACAGTGCAAGGGGCTCCTGCGTAGTCCACAGAGACCATACAGGCTTCATACCCAATGGAGAAACGTTCCCCTCTGTCCAACAGCACATGGCTCCAGCCTGCTCTGTCTCCTTGGAAATACAGGATCACAGATGATGGTGGTGAGAGCACAAAGCCCTGCAAAGCAGCACTGTCTCACAAGTTGTTCAGCTACACCAAATGCCACTGGCATCAGAACCTAAACACATCTGAAACTTCTCCCTTGTTTTTCACCAGCTTCTCCTGAAGCACAGGGGAGTTTTTGGTGGCTACACAGCAGAGGACAACAACAAACACACTTTCTGTCTACCTAAGAACACTGTGCGTTTGTTCCCCCGCGTACAAAGAAGCAAGCATGTGGCTCAGAGACTCAGACTTACGCAGCTGCCAGTTAACTAAGGGTCCTGGGTAATACAAGTAGGTATGAAAAAATTGTGCAACACCTCCAGCCTTAGGTGAAAGCCCAGAGCCTTGTCTATGTGAACAAAGTGATGTGCAGAGCTGCTGGGACTACAAACCCAAAGAAATAGCTGCCACAATGCTGACTGGAATAAATAAATGCAGCAAAATGTGATCAGGCGTAAGCAACAATGGGGCATTACGCACCAAGGGAGCAGTGGCATCTTCTGTAACACTGGGAACAGAAGAGATGGACAAGACACTGAGTCAACCTATGAACAGATGGATGTGTTCTCCTGTAGCACACTGTGTCCAGATTATGGCAGCAAAAGATAGCTGTAGCAGGTCTTCACGCCCACCTCCCGCTGGAAGCAAAACTGCGGCTGAAGGAGAAGTTGATCTCACCATTTTTGTACTTTCCCCACGCTCCAAATGGCACTATGACAACTGTGCTGTTGTCTTCAGTGCCAAATTGCATTGCCTGAGAGAAGAAACAAATTGTCAGCATCATCATCATGCTTGGAAAAGGTAACAAGCGTCTGGCTCCACATGGGACAGCATGCCCTGAGGCCCAAGACTTCCTTGCCCCTTCCCAGCCCTGATGCTGTGTTCTGGGTATGACCCAGAGCTTTCCATAGGATATGCCACCATCCAGAACTCCAGTGAGAAACTGGCTATTTCTGTCTATGCTGATGACGTATTCAGCACAGGAATAAACTGCAGTTACGGTCCCATGCAGTACAGTAGATCATGAGCTAAGCAAGTTAATTGAAATAATGCCTGGCAAGGATGTTGCAAGACCCAGGGTAAAGAAAAGGCTAGCTGGCAGGACTAGTGAATGTCTCAACCAGCATAGTTCAATTCACTTGAATGTGTGGTTGTATACTCATTTTTTTAAAACCAAACAAAAAACAACAACAAGTATTTAGTGCCAAGAGAAGCCCTGGCATTACCTGCTCAGTAACAACATGGGCAGCTTCAGCAGGATCATGGCACTGGTTAATGAAGTCGCAGATCTCCTGACTGTTCACCATGAAATTAATACCGTCTGTGGTAAGGACCAGGAAGCTGTCATCTGCGTGATGCAACTGCAGTAAAGGCACACAGTATGCACAATGATGGAGTGAGTGCCGCAAGGCAAATTAGCTGCCTTCATTTTTTTTATACTCTGTTGCAAAGCACTTTTTCTGGGGGTCCTGCGTGCCCTCCTGCTTTCTGTGCAAGGACAACTGGAACCCGCAAACCCTCAGCTAGCCAAAGGCTGCCCCTTGAACCTTTGAGTATATCTATCAGCCACGCAGACTGTGTTCCCTGTACTGGAGGAGAGCGTCTTAAGGTGCTTTCAGTTCTAGGAAGCAGCCCTCTGAATACACTGAGGGCAAAAGACCAGGCCTGTACATCACCCAGTAAATAAAATGCTTCCATAAACTGAGGATTTCAAGGAAGACATGATAGCACTGCGGTCATCTCCCTAAACCCCTCAGGCCTAGTTAGTGGTGTTTAATTAGGACCAACTGAATATAAGTTCCCCAGGCCCTGGGAGGTGCACTGGGGAAAAGCAACAAACAGAACATGAGCTGAGAGGAGAGCCTTCCTGCAGAAGCGAAGGCAACTGTGCTGAATACCTTCTGGGTGGTTAATTTGCCTTCCAGACAACTACAGAGCTACAGTAAGATGCATGCAACTGCCCTTTCCTCCCCCCTTCCTCCCAAGTGTGCAAGCCTCTACGTATTCTACCTTTTGCGATGACAGCCCATCCATACCCCACCTAGTTCCAGGGATGGTTTTGTATCAGGATTAACCTCAAAATTATTCATTTGACCACAAGCCCCAAACAGACTAACACCTTTGTATTTCAGTAATGGATATCATGTGTTATCTTTCTTCCCTCATCCTATATTGTAACTGTGATAAATGGGATTTAGAAGTTGATCTGGTTGAATTTAGTATCAGGGCCTGATTCTCTTCTGTCCTGTTAGTGTTAATCTGAAATGACTTAATTAGAATTGGTCTCTGGTTACTTCACCACAAATAAAAGACAATGCTTGGCCATCAGGCTTCACCTGGGCACATGTCATGTGGGTACTGCCACCTGCATCAAATACCTGTGATGCCCCTTAGTCCGAACGTTGCTGTCCCTGTTAAGCAGGCCTTCTTTTACCTGAACCCTTTTTGTTTCTGGCTGGGCTATCACACCACTGTTTTTAAGATCCAAATCTCCTATGCTTCGCGTCATTGCAAGTCTCCCATTCACATGAGGTTGTCCCAAACTGTTCCAGGCAATGAAGCCACCGCACTTCCTAATCCTGTCCAGAGGCACAAAAGAAAAAGCAAATATGAGTTACTGTTTCACACCATTACCCCTGTCTCTATCTACAATTTCTGTCACTAGCTACTGATGCGGAATGGGGTACAGAGGACATAAGGTGGGAGACTGAGGGTTGGCTTTTGCTGTTTGAAGGGCTCCACAGAAGGGATGTGGCTTGGTGGGCTGAGTCCTGACCTGGGAAGCACAGTGCATTTCTTCAGGTCTTGGCTCGAACTTGGCAGTCTTGGACAAGTCTGAACCATGTGGTTACGGCTCTGTACCAAGTCCTAGCTATGCTGACCTTACTGCCAAGACAATTTATGCTCATGCAAGTCCTCTAAATGGAACCAAATTAATTAACTGGAGCTGTGCCACTTTCTGCCAGCTCAGAGGTGGTCTCAGAGTGTTATGTTCAACTCTCTGCTTTCTTCCAGGCCCAACTCAACAGCAGAACACAAGCACATCCTGGCTGAGCCTGTGCCCTGGGAAGCCACATCATCAGCTGACAGGTACCTTTCCTTCTCTTCCTTTCTTTCTGGAGTATGGTCAATGGTGAGTTTCATGGCCTTTCCCTTTCGACACAGCAGGGCACGACTGTCTCCCACACTTGCCACAACCAGCTCAATACCATCCCGGAGCAGAGCCACTGTTGCAGTGGTCCCAGAGTTCATCAGAGTTGCTATAAACGTCATATCAAAGAGAGAGGTTTTAGCACTGCCTTGAAGCATGGGACCATTTATAACAGCAACAGTTTAAATCAGTAAAATGAAGACAACTTGTGCTCTTCATTACCAGTAAGTAACTGCTTTTAAGTTTAAACTAAATCTACATATAAAAAAAAAAAAATACAGCAAACACACATGCATGTAGGACTGCGGGGAGAGAGAGGAAGTGGAAAGCGTAAGCGTGTCTGTGCAACAACATGGCTCTATGCAAACAGGGCAAGTGGAGTAAAAGCAGTACAAGGTACAGTGGCTTCCTTTCAGCCTGTAGCAAATAGTTTTTCTGTCCCACTAGCTCACCTCAAGTTACAGGGTTATTGTCCTTATCCCTGGGCACAGTGACTGCACGGGTAGCCCACCATAAAGGCGGTGGCTCTTCCCTTCTTTTAGGTGGTGAAGTGGGCAACTGAGTAACATTGAGTACAGTAGCCCTATGTAGTTCACCAGAAGAGAAACACTAAATCACTCCTTTACATCAGTCTGTGGCATCCTCCCGTTACTGTCAGAGTTGTTACAATCTCCTTCTGCTTCCCCCCAGCCTTGGCAAGAGAGGAAGTGTTCAGCCAGCAGGCCGCTGGCTTTTTTCAGAAAGGGATGCTGCTCCCTTCAGACCCCGTCAACTTGGTGGAGGTCCCAGTGCAAAGGTGAAGCTGAATTCTGCCTTGCCTTGTGCCTGCAAACCAATGCAGTCAGCTGGCCAGTGGCTCTCCAGGCAATCTGCCCTGGCCGCTGGTGGGATCACTTGACAGGGGTGTACAGTGACTGCCTAGAGGGCAAAACAGAACCTAGGTGCTGTCTTCCTTCTCTTACAGGTAAGGGAGTAGGCTGAGCTGACTGACTGTGTTCAGGGACTTGGCCAGATTAACTGGTGCAAGTAAATTTAACGGCTTCTCATTTCAATTTCTACAATGCTCTGGAAAAAAAAGAAGTGCTTGAAAAGGAGAAATGTGAATCTGCCTATTTCAGAAAAGATCTGCAGTTTTATCTGCGGTGAAGGGAATGCCAGAACTATCCAGCTTTCCTTTTTTGTTTGCTTTTTGAAAGGAGCAGTCCCATTTTACAGTTAGTATCTTCCCTTCCTGCAAATTATGCATAGGTAACTCAGTGAGAGGTGCCTGGAAAGCAGTAACTCCTGCTGACTTGAGCTATTACAGTAAAACGTCTGGCCAGGACAAGCTATTGCCTGGAACACATCTGCATTCACAGCCAATGCAAATCCCCTTGAAAGGCCCTCTGTAGGTCTCCTGCATTCTGGGATTTTCCAGTTTTTCCAGGTTTTAAAAGCAGGCCAATTCAAGAGGAGTTTTGGGCTAATTTAGGAATGACAATCCCCAGTTACAATCCTGTTTTCACATGACTAACAGTTAACGATCTTTCTACCACCGCTTCTGCAGAGCTCAGCTACAACTATATGCACTCCTACCTCTGGCCCTGCAGCCCTGACCCCAGGGAGGCAGGATGGATCTGAGACAGGACTGAGCATCTGAGCCCAAGGAATGCCAGCCAGCCCCATCTCTGACCAGCTGCCAGCAAACTACACGCAGCGTTACTGCGGTAACAGAAGCGCAAGTGCTCTGGGATCTCGGCAACCTCTTTCCCCAACCCTGCAAGGTCTCAGCACCCCATAAGTAAAACAGGGTTGGGAGTAAATTGAAGTGCACAAAGCGCTGAAAGATGCATTGAGCCTTGTTGTGCAGCAAAAGCAGTGAGTTGATGAATACAAGAAAACTCACAAAACAGTCTAAGCTTGTGTTATTATTTAAAACAGGTATTATTACTGCAGTGAGGACTTGGTTTAGCTATACACTTAACCAATGTGTCAGTCGTGAACACCGACCATGGTGACCTAGGTCAAACCTCGGACTATGTTACAGCTGCCATGCAGGCTACTGTACTCAAAACTTTAGATGCTGGTAGCTGCTGACTATTCAGGTAAGCACTGACATCCTGTTTCTACTTCGAAGCAAGGACTAGTCCAGTGCAGGCTCACTTTGAGACACGTTATGAAAGTAAGATGCTAACAAGTACCAGTGCAATTAGAAATTTTAGTAGAACCAGTAAAATACCTGTTTTAGCCAACAGTTAAAAGAAGTGAAATGAAAAACCTACATAAATCTACCTTTTTATTTCACAGAAAATACATTTTATTTAGACGTTAAAATTAATGCAGAACCGCCACTACTCTCCCATTTCATTCCTTGGTTTTGGAACTATGCTGACAAACATAAGCAGTTTCTGAAAAAGTTAAGATCCACAGTCTTGAATTCATAAATGACTGGAAACATTTGGACATTCAGGTGAATCTGCATCTTTCAAGTGCAAACTCTCAAAGAGCTGCTGTCACAAAATCAAGGGATGGTACTAAAGAACAAGTCAAGATATTGTCCAGAATTGTAGCAATGGTCACAGTGACTTGAGATTTATATACATTTATTAGTTAAATAGCACTCCTAGAAAAATAAATGCTGCTCACACTCTCTTCCTTGGAACCAGTTCATGATCTGGGTAGGGGTGCAAGAACATGGATGTAGCTAGACTACAAGCATTATGTGATTTCTAGCACAGCTCAAAAACACAGGAATGATGATGGGATAACATTTCTAATGCTTTACTACAACTGCTACTAGGTTATTTAATAATATCAAAATATGTTGCATCAGCATATATATTGGTTTTAACAATTAAAGAGTTTATTTTGTTTTCCTAACAATATCACTATAAAACTAAGATCTTTCAATAGGTTCTTAACACTCACTGGACAACTTCTACTGCAAGTCATGTCAACTAATGTGACAAAGAGGATGTGGGAACCTTCCAGTAGTCCAGGCTAGGAACCGCCGGACTCCTTCACCTGGGACAAAATTAAGCAGATCTCTCTTTCCACTGAAGCCCAGCATATAGTGTCCAGGGCCTCCAGTTCTAGAGCTGCTGACCAGGTACAGTGTCTGCCACAAATAACACGCACACAGAGGCAAATAGGAAATTCACCCAGGGACTTTGTTCAAACAAAATAAACCTGCAACACTGGAGATGAAAGAATAAGAGCTGCAGAACTGGGGTCACTCTTGGTTTTGCCTGCACTGTCTTTTGCAGGTTGTATAGGAAGTACTCTGAGGTTTACATATGCATCTTTGGCCACGGATAAATCAGCCTTGGTACTTCTGGGGAATTGCCACCATTCTCACCTTCTCACTAAAACTGTGTGACAAAACCACTTTAAATTCAGCTAAAATAAAAGCTACCCACCCACCCCCCCCCTCCCACACCCCCAGGCACGGAGACCAACAACCCACCC